GAAAATGTCTCTTTTTTTTTTTCTTTTTGCACATGAATACCTTTTAATGGTTCACATTTTCCCCCCCAGAAACTTTGTAACAAAAAATACATGAAATTGAAATTTGTGTTACAGTACATTGTGCAATTACAGAATCTAAACAAGACAAATATGAAGTATCCTTCTTGTGGGGGCAGAACATTCCATTGCACTAAGAGAATCACAACATGATTAGGCACAATTTTCTCACATTGCCTGTTGTTCTAATCTCAGAGACTGGCAGACTTGGGAGAAAAAAAAATCGAAACATAAATAAATAAAACTGAACACAGTCAACTCCTTCAGCTCCCTTTTCCTTTCTCCTCTTCCCATTTTCTTTACATAAGCTGAAGGGACGAGGACATGAAGTGGAACGCTGTGGGCACGGTAGGTGCTCCACTGACTAGACGCCAGGCAGATACATGGCTCTCCGAGTAGCCCAGAAATGTACTGTAAAACGCCACCTAGTACTGTAGGTGGAGACTCTGGCAGAGCAGAGGGAACAACAAAGGAGCTATAGAACCCTGGCAGGAGCCTGACTTGCAGACCACTCACTCAAAGCCCGATGGCCTGTGCATAAACATCAGCCAGCATGTTTACACAGAAATGCAAAACTGAGGTGTTAATACCATGCTGTAAAAAATACCAGGTAGATTGTTAACAACATGAATGCTTCTAAGGAGAAAAAAAATTAGGTTTTCCAAATGAAAAAACCCTTCACATCTACCTGTGTTTAATAATAGCTTATGATAGGAACAGCTTCCTTAAAAGAGCAATTAACACGAAAGACTTCTGTGTTATGTGTGGAATGTAGTTCTCTAGAAAAGACAAATAAATAACATGAACACAAAGCTGAGTTCCGATTTCAGTTTAAAGCAAAATTCACCTAACAAAAAACAAGAAGTTTTAAGCAAATTAAGCGTTTCCATTCAAATGATTTCAGCTCACTTAGACCAGACAATAAAATAAATAAGAGTCAGATTTTCCCCACCTGGGTGTTCATTGGCCTCTATGGTGGATGGTGTGGGAATACGCTACACTATTCCAAGTGCCATGCAATGGAATGTTTCTCTAAGTAGGCTGGCCAAGTAGCCATTCCCTTCCTAAGCAGGCCTTTGGGGATGTACCACAGGAGGAACTTGGTAAGAGTGGATCATAGTTTTACTTGGTTTGAACATAGGACTTATTAAAAGAGATGATGTTACATAGGTCAGTAAAACAAACTATTTTAGTCATAGGGTAGTTTTGCTTTCATAGGACAAACCCATGTAGCTCTCATAAGCCACTTCATGCCCCCTTCCATACAATAAGACTATGTAGATAGTCTATCCATGACTTGCTTCTGGACAAAAGCTGATTTGCTAACATTTTCCATCCCTAGTATCATTAACCCTATGGAGAAAAAAGAAAAAAATAGAATTGACATTAGGCAACTTGAGAACAAGAGTAAGAAAACCTACAAAGGAGGGTCAAACTAAACTGATTCGACAGCTATTCAATCACTGTCCACCACTTGGGCTTGAGGCTGGTGACTTCATGGATACATGCTTCGATGCACTGCCAAGTGTCAGTCTGAGTCCATTACGGTGACCCCAGCGTGATGCTGCCTGCCTTCTACTTGCCACCTGCTACCCACAAGATCCCAGGGGCCTAGTGGTGTTAAGCACAGCACCTTAAAAAGGTGCTGAGAGCCCAAGTGTCTCCCTGAACTTCACCTGGATGTGGGCAAGGAATCAAGTCAGTGGTTCGTAGCCTTGGCAATAGTGTCCACACTGGAGGCTTAACCTCAGCAGCCAGACTGGAGGATGTCTCCCCCAGAGCGCTTGGTCACTGACAACGTTGTGAATATCTCTGCACAGGCTGGGTGGATTCCAATTGCACTGTCCAGCTGCTGTTTAGTCAATCCACACATGAGTGCAAAGCCCTGTGTCACTTCTCCAGCATTTGGACCCAGTACATGAAAGCCCACAACACATTCATCGTCTTTAAGATTACAGATAATTTTTGCATAACATTTGTTATCTCTTGATGGAACTGTCCATTCCAATGGCCAAAAGAAACTATGGTAAACCTGAGAAGACATAAACACAACTTATATTACCTTAAGTAGGATGTTGTCCCGGCATACAGCCTCTGAGACAGCAGTCTTCCTGCCTGGATAGCAATAGGAGTCAGCTCCAGTTTTCCTTCCAGAATGTCACCAATGGCGTAAATGTAAGGCACGATGGTCTGCTCTTCATCCGTCACAGGTATTTTTTCCAGTCTTTTCATTTATCCTCACGCCCATGGTTTCTAAGCCAATAGTTCTTGTACAAGAATCTCTTCCTACTGCCAGCAACACCATATTAAATTCTCCTTTGATGATTTCCTCACTGCTGGTGGACTGAGCTGTTACCTTAAGTCGGCCTGGTGTCCCTGCTTCAATTTGCTCAACTTTAATTGGTACAAACTGCCTTACAAACTTGATACCATGTTCTTCCACGTGTTCACCAATTTTGTTTGCCATATCCTGGTCAAATCCTCTAAGGAGAATGGACTGTACCATTACAGTGACATCTAAACCAATACCAGCAAGGAATCCTGCACATTCCAAAGCAACATAGGATGCTCCAAACACTAGGGTCTTACCCGGGCAGTAAGGCAAGGAGAAAAGATCGTCACTGCTGATGCCATACTCTGTCTCCAGGGATGCCCAGGTACCTTGGCTGTTCACCAGTGGCAATGAGAAATCGTTCTGCTGAACAAATTTTTTATTTGCCTTTATTATTTGTTGCCTTAATCCTACGTGGACTAATAAATTTCCCGTAAACATTCTCATATACAACTTTTTTCTCCCAAAGAGCTACTCAGTAGCCCCAGCTCAGGGAGTCGGTGTGATTCTGTACAGATTCTGTCATTTTCTCCCAGTAATGTTTAACTGTGTCCTCAACTTTCCATCCATAGTTTTGGGAGTCTTTCAGGGCTTGTCCTAACAAGGCTGCTTGGTGCATCAGTTTTTTAGGTATGCAACCCACGTTCACATATGTTCCTCCAAGACCCCATCGAGTTCCAAGGGTAGTTGGAGTGACAAAATCCTAGACTAGCACCTTCTTGCCATATTTTACTGCCTCCTTTGCTGCTGCCAATCTTCCTGAGCCTCCTCCAATGATGATAAGGTTGAAGTCATAGGACCCAGGGAGATCTTCAGAGCTGTTCATTGCTGGCAGCTTTTGAAGTTGGTCTTCTTTTAGTGCTGGACCATGGCTGCCCTCTGCCTGCAGCGCTGGGGGCACTGGGGTCGCAGCCTGCCACCTTGCTCCGTCCGCCACCGGCCTGTTGCGTTCTGTGGCACAAAGACCCTTTTCTTCTTTTTCAAAAGTATTTTATTATTTTTATTTTATGTGTATGGGTGTTATGCCTGCATGTAGGTAAGTGTACCTGTGTTGTCCAATGCCCGCGGAGGACAGAAGAGGCTGTCAGATCTCCTGTAACTAGAGTTACAGACAGTTGTTACCTGCCATGTGGGTGCTGGGATTCGAACCAGGGTCTTCTGAAAGATCAGTCAGTGTTCTTAATCACTAAGCCATCTCTCCAACTCCTAGAAAATGTCTCTTTTGATTTAATTGTAGCACCACCTGGACATGGAGGCACCTACCTATGATCCCAGTACTTGGGAGGCAGAGGCAGAAAGATTGTAAGTTTATGGTCAGCCCGGGAGATATAGTGAAACCCTATCTCAAAAAATAAAAATGAGCTCTCTCCTACCCACAGGCCTCTCTCTGGGGTAAGTCCATTGCGCCCTCTGTGCCTTGACACCCAAAACCTCATTCAACCTCCTATCTCCCCTGCCGGTCTCTCCTAGTTTGGGTCCTGTCCCATTCCTTGGCTTGGGGCCACAGACACCTGGGGAACCAATACTGCTTCCTGAGACTTTTCATCAAGACGAAATTGGTGCCTTCTCTGGGCCCCAGGAGCACTGCTTCTGGGCCTGGCCCCACCCACCAGCCTCTTTCTGGGACTCAGGGGCTGACCTTTCCTCTTCCTGATCCTTTGCATCCAGACCAACACAGCTCCTCAGTGCAGTCCCCAGGAATCCTTGGGGCCTCTTCCCGCCCCATCTGCCTTTGCATCTCTGGGTGGGACGGCCACCAGCTGCCATAGACCAGCATCTTTCCTGGGCCAGGCTCCCAGGCCAGGACAACCCCCAAATTCCTGAGGCCAAAATCATTCCTGGAGGGATCCAGACCTTAGGAGAAAGTCTGAACATATCTGACCCTCATCTGAATTGGGCCTCTGTGGGAACTCCTGAAGACAAAAGCAATCTGGCCACTCCAATATAAAATCAAAAGAGAGAACCCGAAGCTTAAACAAACCAGCTTTTCATGCCCAAAACGTAAACCACAAAGACACATAAAGTTCACAAAAAAGAAGCAGACCTAAACTTAAAGGCCTAAGTCTCACACAAGAATCAAAAATTACAAAAGAAATTCACACGTCAAAATCACAGAGAAAAAATAATAACATGAAACCAAAATAGCATAACCCCACCAAATACCAATAGTCCTCTAGAGGAGAACAATGAGAACTCCCTAGAGATAAAGCAGGACATGGAACTCAAAAGAACAATTATAAACATGATAAAAGAATTCTGTGAATTTAAAGAACACTCAAAGAAATCAAAGAACTGAAGGAAGATAGGTTGGAAAAAAATATACCAAGCAAATGGTATTAAGAGAAAAGCAGGCATTGCAATTCTAATATGTTACAAAATAGACTTTAAAATAAAAATAATCAGACGAGAGAAAGAGGGCCACTTCATTCTGATCAAAGGAACAATAAATCAAGAAGATATTACAATCATGAACATATATTCACCAAACTCTGGTGCACCCAACTTCATAAAAACAATACTAGAGGACTTTAAGACCCAAATTAACCCCAACTCATTAATAGTAGGGGACTTCAATACCCAACTATCTCC